AAGAGAGAAGAAAGAGAGGAGTGAGGAAGGAGACAGCCCGATCATTCTATAGGAATTGGACTAAGTGGGAGATGTAGCACGATCCCTTTCCTCTGTGCGTGTGTCAGTGTCACACGTGTCAAAATACCCACTGTGCCCGGTGTGTATGTTAACAGACACACCCTTGGCCTGCCAGTATCAAAGTTCGTCTCAGGTTTTCAGAGACATCTCCTCCTCCAGCCCTCAGTCGAGCAGGTAAGGCGGTGTAACCTTCGCACCACCCTCAGCATCGCAGGCTAGCTAATAGAGATGTTAGATTTTAATGGCAGTAAGACTTCTGTAATTATTAAGGCACGGCTTGATTGTTTTTGCTGTGTTTTAACAAGTTGTGTGATCAAGAAAAGCAGCAGAAGTATTTTGGCACAGCAGTGACAGTGATTTAGTTCACATTTATCATTTGGTTTGAGGCAGGTTTTTCTCTCTTGCTGTCTTGGTTTTCTTGCTTCTTTTTTTTTTTTTTTTTTGCTATGTTAATCATTCTGGCTTCCAGCACTGTGGAAAAAAACTTTCTTCATTTCAAAATGTAATGGAGACTGCTCAGTTCATGGACTCTTGTACTGGATGATCCAGGATTTATTGTTATTTAGCCATCTATTACAAGATCCACCCCTGATGTAGTGAACTCTTGCAGAAAGATTACTTGCTTATTAAAAAATGATTCATGTCCATCTTGAACAGCGCAGTTTTCTTTCACCAGCATCTCTCTCAGGGCATGAATGCCCATAGCAAGCAGGAAAATGTGTCTGTAAAGTATTTTAGTGGCATGGGGAGCCCTGGGGGGGCTGTCAAGCTTTCCATTAACAATTTTAATGCTATTAGCGAGTGTGATTATGTACAAACCGCTTCTAGGGGGTTCCTAGGCTAGATATCAGTGCAGGGCTTTGTACTGAGTCAAAGGGTGGATTGAGTTTATGACACAGTTTAAACAGAAACAGAAGAGCAGTACTACAGTAGAGCAGCACATCGTAATTCATTCGGTATTGCTCTGTGGTAGCCATGCAGAGAAGTTCTCACTTCTTACCAGGGTCTTCGATTTGAGAACATCTTTCGGCGTCACCCATGAGTAAGTAGCTGGACGTACTTAGATTTAACTGTGTGTGTTTTCAGCTTTTCGGTTTTGTTTTAAACAAAAAGAGACAGGCTCTTCTTTCCTTTTCCTAGCTGGTAGATCTATCTTTAAATGTACACTGCTTTTTCAGTTCCTTCATTTTTTCTGCTTAGCTATTTTTTAAAGAGGGAGGATCTAAACAGAAAGAGGCACTATGCACTAATGCTCATCTTATTATAAAAAAGACGTATTTATTCTATTTATTGCTGCTCAGAGTTGATTTAGTACCATATATGTCTCCAGATGAGATGTAACTATGAAAACTTCAGTAAAAGTCTTGGTTGGTGAGCACTATTTAGCTTCTATGGCCAGGTATAAACTGTGTTTTATTGTAAGGTTTTAATAACATTTTAAATAAGAGAAAAGTTCTGTAACTGATGGAAAGTTTTTTTATCCCATATAGCTGCACTGTGATCATAGCACAGAAGCAGCAGAGGAGGGGTGTGGGAAAGCTTGCTCAGCGACAAAAAGTGGAGTAAGTACCACTTCACACACCACAGCAGAGACACAAATATCATCTTCTGAAGCCTTTTTGGGGGACCAGCTTGAGTCCCAGCTCCTGTCTTGTTCTTTTCATAGGGCGGCTGCCCTCTGCTGTTTAAAGCTGCTTTTCCAGCGCTGGCGTTGCTGCGGTGGTGATGGTGAGGAGATAAGGGAAGGCAGGTTGCAGGGAGAGGTAATCTCTCTTCTCAACCCAGATAATAATCTCGGAGGAAGCAGTGAAGCTGCTGGGCGCACAGTCCCTTCATCAGGTCACTGTGCTGACAGGCACGACAGAATCTTGCTGCTTGTGCAAATAACAACTGACAAGATGCTTTTAATTTCCCCCTGCCAGCTAAATAAACCAGCCAAAGGCCAACATCGGCTCAGTTAGCGTGAATGGGTTTTGGATCCAGCAAGTGGCATGAGTGGTGCAATTTAGAGAGATTCCATCTATCAGAAAAGCTTCAAATATGGTTTGTGGGAATAACTTCTTGGTATGAAGCAGATGAGGGCACACTGCTTAGAAATACATGCTCTTAATGATGGGGTTGGCTACCTGATGCACATCATAATTGTGATTTAGTCTGTTCTCAACCTCTAACTATGAAACCAGTAAATGTTGCTGCATACGGTCCTCACTGACAGTTAACAGTTGACTTATACCTGTGTATATTGTCTTTGTGGGCATGGAGTGGTATCATTTGTTCCTGTTACCTTCTTTTTCTATGTTTTCCTAATCACTGTTGTACAACAACTATACTTGATAATACAGCAGGTGCTCCCTGTGCCATCCTTATACCAATGTGAAACTCTTATTTCATAGCTTGCAAAACACAGCTACATCCAATATTAGTCTTTGCTGTGGAATGAGTCAGAGGAGCTGGTGGTTTTCTGTGAATACCAAGATTTTTCCAATTGTGGGACATCCAAAATTATGGAATTCTGATTCATGTTTAAAATGGCTTATATTTTCCAGCATGACTCGCCTGTTAGGTATAAAGCAACACATTCTATAGAGCTTAAGAAAAACTAGAAAAAAATATATTCCTAGAAGAAAATATGTTCCTTTAAATATGTTCTGTTCGTTAATAAGAAAACTGCCAACAGAATTTGTGGTTGCTTCTGGAGGAGGCAGTACCTGCCTCCATGGGTATCAGTAGCATCAGTTCTCTTCATCTACGTCGGGTTTTTGGAATGAAAATCTTTTGATATCCTGCATGAGTCAAGTGATATTTTGAACGTTGTGTGCTTTAATTATAGCCTCCATTCCCAAAGAGGATGCTACCAAAAAATTAAGACTCTAGGCCCAATATTTGGGTTGGACATTTGTTTTTCAGCAGTCTGTAGCTTCCAAAGTCTTTTTTTGGTGCGGCTTAGGGGTGGAGTATGGCTACAGAAAGCATTGAAGAGAAGGATTTTTCTTTTTTTATTCTTAGATAGCTGCAGTCATTTCCTGCGTGGTTTGCTTTGGTTTACTTGTTTGAGGCATTTCAGGAATGATCCTACAGTTGTGATCAGTGTAACCTCAGCAGGGTCTTAAATATGTGTAAGCTCAACATAGTTGTGAAGTTTTGTTTGAATAATCTTTGTGTGAGGGAGATCCTGCCTGCCTTCTTGCCCAGGGTGCAATGCCTCCAGCAGCGATTCAGCTGTATGGCTAATTTTCAAATAAACCACAGTTACACGTTTTCTTGACACAGTACTAGTGCACGCTGTTCTCTGCAGTCTGAGGCACTCTGCCTGCGGTTCATAAACACATTTACAGTCCCATTTGCTTCCCTGTGCTTGGAGGGGGTTGGTTTGCATTTCTAATTAATTGAGTTTATAAAGCAATAAGCCAGTATGTTAACTGCAAATTCCCTCAAGAATTGTAATCTTCTTTCATTAACTGCCTGTGTGTAATCATATTACCCTTTCTTGTGTAAGCCTAGGGGAGAGCAAATGCTACATGGAGCAGAAACCTTCCTATGGTGTGAGTTGCAAGGGGAACTGAGTTTACCATGTGGTCATGTTCTGCAACCTGGCCCCTGTCAGGTCACCTTTGTCCATCTGCCTGTTCCTACTATCAGCTTGATGTCTGTGGCTGAGACAGCAAATGGTGTGAGGAGATTTAAGGACCTCTCTCAGCAGAGTCAGAGAGTAGGGGAGAGCTTTCAGAGAATGCTCTAATCTAGCTGAAGACAGACACATTTACTCTTTGCAGGGGCTCTGGTTTCTGAATGCAGGGATTTACATGGAGACTGAATTTTCTTTACGCCGTGTGAAGACAAATGCTCTTAACTTCCCACTCATGTCAGCTGGGAGTTGGTGGCTCAGCACACCTAAGGGTTAAATGCCCTGTATTTCCATGTTAACCTGGGACACTTGTTTCAAGATACTGGTTAAGGCATTAGTTTAACACTGAGAAATCTGAGCTACTTAATATAAGTTAACTCCATTCAAATAGCTTGACCCTTACTATATTTATAGTCGGGTAGCAAGCTGTTACTTAGCAGGGTAGGATAATTTTGCAATGTGTTTGGGTGAATGACTGTACTTCCTTTTGCTTTCCACAGACCGGCATTCAGAATGGCAGGCTTGTCCACTTTAATCTTCCTTTTGTGTGCTGCTAAAGATGTGATGCCCTCCAGTTCTCACTGGAAGCCAACTTGGCCATCTTACAGAGTTCCCGTTATCCTGCCGCGGTCTACCCTGAACTTGGACAAACCACAGTTTGATGCTGAAGCCAGACTGGAAGTGGTATCTCCCTGTGGCCCAGCATGCCACAAAAGTTCTCCACTGCCAACTTATGAAGAAGTGAAGAACTACTTGTCGTATGAAACCTTGTACGCTAATGGTAGCCTCACTGAAACTGAAGTGGGCATATATATTCTGAGCAACAGTGGTGGAGGGTCTCAAGGCAAATCTCGAACTAAGAGGCAGATCTATGGCTATGACAGCAGGTTTAGCATTTTTGGGAAAGACTTCTTGTTGAATTACCCATTCTCCACATCGGTGAAGCTATCTACAGGTTGCACGGGGACACTGGTGGCTGAAAAGCATGTTCTTACAGCTGCTCATTGTATCCATGATGGCAAGAGTTACGTCAAAGGAGCTCAGAAACTGCGGGTGGGGTTCCTAAAGCCCAAAGTGAAAGATGGCAGCAAAGGGGCCAATATCACCAACTCGGCACTGCCTGAGAAAATGAAATTCCAGTGGATCCGAGTGAAACGGACGCATGTCCCCAAAGGATGGATCAAAGGCAATGCCAATGACATTGGCATGGATTATGACTATGCCCTGCTGGAGCTGAAGAAGCCTCATAAAAGAAAGTTTATGAAGATAGGTGTGAGCCCACCAGCAAGACACTTGCCTGGAGGGAGGATTCACTTCTCTGGCTACGACAATGATCGTCCGGGAAACCTGGTTTACCGTTTCTGTGATGTCAAAGATGAAACATATGACCTGTTATACCAGCAGTGTGACGCTCAGCCAGGCGCGAGTGGATCGGGGGTGTACGTGAGGATGTGGAAGAGGCAGAATCACAAATGGGAGCGTAAAATTATTGGTATATTTTCAGGCCATCAGTGGGTGGACATGAATGGCACCCCACAGGATTTCAATGTAGCTGTTCGGATCACACCTCTCAAATACGCACAGATCTGTTACTGGATCAAAGGCAACTACCTTGACTGCAGGGAAGGATAAAGACAATGAAACTCCTTGAAAGCACTTAATGACTGGTTTTAATTACTCATCTGAGGAAAGGCTAGACTTGTGCTGCAAATGTGTGTGATATGAGCATGTAACATCGGGAGGTGATATGTAGCTTTTCAAGCCAACCACCCTGTTCTTAGGACAGGGACTGCATGGTGCTATCATTACAGCTCGAAACTGGGGAGAAAAGAACGTCTGCTGGGTGGGGAAGGAGCAGGTGGACTTGCTGAATTTGCAGCTGAGCAACTGAAGATTAATTAGGGGCGGATCAGTAACCAGTATGAAAACAGAACCGTCTCCAAAGAATCTTGTAAAAGGGACGCTGTTGACTATCTCATGCCTACAATGTTTGTTTTAATAAATCCTAGGATTAGTAGAAATGCTTTGATCTGAACTTTTAAAAGAAAATATTTCTATGCTGTTGGGGGCTGAAGAGGGGCATTTAATGGTGTTTGCAACCCAAACATTACAGCTTTGTGTTCCTGCATGAGAAAGAGAGTGTGAAAAGGGCAAGGCGTGCGCTGTGGGAGATGAATGCCACACAAATAGCATGAAGGGTAAATAACCACATAACACTGCTAACTTCCTTTTGGCCTGAGTGATTTGAGACTTTATTAGTAACACAGTTAAGAAAAATGGTTTTTGAGCAAACAGGCCTTGATGTTGCAAGGACTTGACTGTGAAGATGATGTTGGTCATATGAGCAGTGCCATTGCATCCTGCTTTGGGAAACACAAATTGGATTTGTGATTAAATCTTTAGACGAGCTGGGGCATAGCCTTATGCCTAGCAGGATCCCTATGAATATACTATTATAGAAAGTGTGTGGGGATAGAGGCTTTTCTGTTTATGACCTACTTAGATCTTTTAAGAAAAATCTCATGTCAGCACCTCAGATTTTCGGAGGGGAAGCCTGTTTTTGGTCTTAGTGGCCATCTGAATTTCTGCCTGCAGAGCAGGTAAAGGGCAAGGGTTCTACCAAGTTAGGGTTCTACCAAGTTTTTCTCCCTGTTTGTTCAAGATCCTTGCTGTTCTGCCTAAAAACATACCAGGTAGAAGGACCCTAGATTTGTAAGTGTCTCTCAATCGTATCCCGCTGTGTAATTTGTATGGTATCTTAACCAATGTTTCTTGTTTTGTTTGGGATCAGAATTCTCCTACCTATCTAACTGTTGAGTCACAAATAATTCTTGGCAAATGTACAGTTCAGTAATTCTGCATCTGGAACAGAGCCACACTATAGGATGCAGCCTGGGTTTGCTATGAAGTGATCCTCTGTTGTCTCTTATAGGTAACAGTTACTTAAGTTTTTACTATAGCAGAATTAGAGCTTAAAACAAGAACTGTCTTTTATAGGTAAAATCAGTGCAGCCAAATACTGTAGCTCAGCAAACAGCTGGGAATTGGGAAATCAGCGTGGTCTCTACAAGCAGAGTTTCTCAGGTGGACTGTGCCACTGTGTTGCAGTAACATGGTTAAGTACATGCTACCATGCTAATATTAAATTTTAAATAGGAGGATAAACACTGGCTCTGGTTCTGGTTTCTCTTCCATTCGTCTCTCACTGTCTCCTGAAGTTTACTAAGTTGCCTGTGGTTCTTGGTGTTCTGAGGCAAATGCAAGGCCCTGGTATGAAATGGCAAAGCTGGGAAGGAACGAGTCTAAGCAGAGCTTCCCTATGCTATACAAATACAAGGAAAATGTTAATTCAGCTAAGCCTTTTTTACACTCTACTAATTACTATGGCATTTGTAAACATATGCCTGATGGTGCTTTATCTTTGTGGTGGCTTTGGCTCTAATTCTGAAAAACATTTTTTGCTAGAGCTGCCTATGATTATTATTTTTATAGAAGCAGCGTACAAAAATGTGGACCCTCATGTGGGCTCTTGGTGCACTCAGATACAAGCAGTTACTAATGCTTTGAAATATGAATAATCACCATATGTATCTGATGGTCTTTTTCTGCCTTTTTATTTTAATTTCCTTTACTCTATGGCTGTTATCTGGAGCACTTTTGTTTGAATGTATCACAGTGAATAAAGAAAAGTTATGGACTTTCAATGCAGACATTCTTGTATTTGTACTATATTGGGTTGCAGTTTCAATTTTGTTTCAGTTACTTATTTGTAAAGACATTCAGATACAGAACAGATTTATTAAAATTCTCAATGCTGTAAATTTTCCTTCAACTTTCTTTTGCTCCCACCTGTTAGAAGTTTCTATTTTGGTGTAACTATTTTGGTTTTTTAGTAGGCTTAATTACTTTGTGTCTTTGGATGGTAATAATCAATCTTAGCTTTTGTATGACTGTTCCAAAGCCAGTCATGAGCTCTGATTAGTTAGAGCTGAAAATAACCTATTAGACTAAAAAGCCACATTGTTTTTATGAACTTTAGGGTAAATAAACTATGGAGGAATTTGAACCAGTCAGTAGAAGGTCATAAATGAGGTCGGTCCCTCTTCTTTTCCTTTTAGTTGATGCAGTATGAAAAAAGTTCCTCTGAGGCAAATATAGTGAGACTCCCAGTTTTTAGAGAAACACTGGATGCAGAAATATTTTCATTTTGAAATTGTTACTTATACAACTTTCCTGACCTCTGGACGTGCACACTATGCCATGTAGGCTTGAGATCATCAGTCCTGATTTATTGAACATATTTCCCATCCACTGATCCTTATGTGCTCAACTGCTTTGTCAGATTATAGGCTAAGAACTTGTCATGGAATCGTAGAACCATTTAGGTTGGAAAATACCTGTAAGATCATCAAGGGCAACTGTAAACCTAACACTGCCTGGTACACCACTAAGCCAGGTCCCTATGTGCCACATCCACACATCTTTTAAATACCTTCAGGGATGGTGGCTCCACTGCTTCCCCAGGCAGCCTGTTCCAATGCCTGGCAAGCCTTTCGGTGGAGTCTTTCCTAATATCCAATCTAAACCTCCCCTGGCACAACTTGAGGTCATTTTCTCTAGAGTAATATAAGCAAGGTGGGATTTTGTGGGTTTGTGTTTTGTTTTTTTTTTAAAGTATGCAGCAAGTTTAGTGTAATCAGGAGTAGGAGAGTCTCTTTCCACAGTACACCTTGTGCAAACATTCCAGATAATTTTGGAAATCTCAGATAACATGGGCAGAATTGTGGTGATGAAGTTCAACATTGTTTCACCTGTGCCCACTGGAGTTGGTGGTAATTTTGCCAGTGCATTCATTCGCAGTGGGGTTGGGCCATTGCTAGGCAGGTTTGGAAATTGCATCCTGAGGGTATTTGCGTTGATACTGCAAAGAAAGCTCTTTTAAAACCAGAACTTTAAACTGTGAGAAAGAGCCACGGGTATTTGCGTTGATACTGCAAAGAAAACTCTTTTAAAACCAGAACTTTAAAGTGTGAGAAAGAGCCATGCAGCCAAAATAAGACTCATCAAGGAAACAAGTAACTGAACTGTATAGAGGTATGACACTTGAAATTTCTTTGTCCAACTGATGACTGCTGATGACCTGCAGAACTAAATGAAGTGCCTCATTATTCTTGTATCTGAAGGCAAGACAGCAGATGGGTATAGAGGGACTATTTTGGCTGTGAATGGAAAGGATTAAAATCTGTGTCTGTTAAGAGGCTGATATATGAAATATCTACTCAATGTGATACAACTCCCTTGGAGAACAGTGCTAAAGATGGAAACTGAGGTCTCGAGAAAACACAGACCCTGCCGAGCTATTCCCCAGCCCACACTGAACCTAGCCAACTGAAAACTGCAGAATATCATTGAGTTTCTTTCTCAGAGGAGAGGCATCTGTAATTGTTTTGCAACTGAATTCCCAAGCCTGCCTGTTTAGAGGGCAGCCCTTGTCTTAAAGTTGCACACTGAACCCCAAGCAAGCATAATACATGCTTGAAATTCTTTTCCGTGTTTCCACTTAATCTGCCATTTGTTAGCGGTTTTTGGTAGTGTGCCAAAGCAATACGCACAGGCCTCGAGAAGAGAAGCTTTCAAAGAGCTGATAAAGTACCATGAGTGGGTAAAAACCTTTTTGCTTCCCTGGAGTAAAAAGGAAGTGTGGACAGAGAAGAGCAGCAGAGAGTGAAAGGGCAATATGATTTGTATCACATGAGCAGGATTCCTACTGGATCAGTTGCTGTGTATATATGCACATGTGTGGATGTGCATGTGTGTAGGGTTTTTAACAATAATACTGTTTGTTTCCATTCGTTGCTCCACTAGGTACTGAAGAAAAACTTAAGAGCTGAAGTAAATTAAATCTCTTCAAATGAGAGCGTTGATGCCAACTCTGAAGCTAATGTGCAGCACGGATGAGACGTTCAGGCTGTGATTTGTCCAATAGGCAGATAAAAGAAGAGTAACAGTGACATGAGCGTTAGGAACCTGATCTTTTCCTGTCTCACATAGTGACGATGAGGGTACGTGTGCTTTCTGTCTGCTGTTAAAGGTA